AATGTATGTCTGCTTAAATAAAAAAGACGCTGAACTTTAGAGATTAAGTTGCTAAAGAAGTCCCAATGAAGGGACGAAACGTCCAATTAATCAAAACAAAGTTCTAGTTCTTTTAAATGTCCAAATTCCCTACGATAGTTATTTATTAATAATTTTATTTTTGAACSAGAGAAACATAACTAATTGAATATAAATACTAAACACTAATCTAGATTGAAACAATTTTGTTTGATTGTTTAAATATAACGGATTAAGATATAACGAAGTTTAGATGTTTAGTTATTTGAAAATTACAAGAATGTATGTCTGGTCAAATGTAAAAGATTCTGAACGTTAGAGATTGAGGTAATATTTAATATTTTTATAATGTATGTTTCTCATGTAAGTCATAATATAAAAAAAAATTTCCAGTTACTGAAGAAGTCCCAATAGAAGGACGAAACGTTCAATTTGATCAAAATAAAGTTCTAATTCTTTTTAATATTCAATTTCCCTACGATACTTATATATTAACCCCTTGGCCTATAACCACGAGTCTGACTCGTGGTTTTCGCTTATGGCACAAATTCTTTACCACGAGTCCGACTCGTGGTGAGTAATTTATGCATAAGACGCCGCGTATTTTTAGAATGCGTTATTAAAACAAGCGATTGGAGTTATTCCACATCGAATATTTTTCCTTTGTATTCAGTAACATCAGTAATTGTGGTTTTTACATTGGTTTTTAACGAAATTGCATGATCTTTTACTTTAGTTGCCCGTAAAGCTTCGTTACTTTCACACCTTTCAAATTGTTATTGATTCATTATCTACTCTTTGAAATAATAAATGATTATTTTTCAACTGATAAATTGATTATGATTTAATCCCGGACGTCTTAAAATTACTATTTGTACCTAAAAATTGTTTATTTTCTTTCACAATTTCTTTCATTTCATTGAAATATATAATATATGTCATGAAAAGTATATATTTAGCGCCAGTTCGGGTATAGGGCTGAACAGTTGAAGAATGGCATCTTGTTTATTATGGCTCGCACAATTGGCAGATATCGTGTAGGCCAAGGGGTTAAGAATTTTATTTTTGGACAAGAAAAATAACTAATCTTTTATAATGTTTATCAGAATTTTAGAAATATTTCGGAAGGACATGATCTCGAAGAAATAAAATGGAAATCATTGTACTAAAGATAATCATTTAATTTAATATAAATATAAGATGACGATGAGAATGATCTCGATGATATCTGAATGGGTGAAATATTTTGGAAGGAGGGTCGTTTAGATCGATTAATTAGTATATATATATATATATATATATATATATATATATA